ACACACACACACACACACACGCACACACACACGCGCGCGTGCGCACTGTCCCCCAACAATCCCGGCCCCACACCTTTTTTTCTTCTTTCATAAAAATAGATGAACATATATATTACACTTTTATTGATCCCAGAAGGGCAATTTGGTTTACAATGGCAAACATAACATATTATATTCATACATACATAAGTATGAATGCATATGTACATAAATACATGCACAAATACATACATAAATACAAATATTACACCAGTACAGAACAATTTCACAAACATGCCATTGCCGGTCGCCACTGTGCAGCACCCTGTACTTTGAGCTAGGGTTGTCGTGTCTTGCTCAAGAACACACCCCAGTGACGACCCATTTAAACCCTGTGTCACCGACACTTGCCACTTGCTTGACATTACTTGAGTCTGAACCTTCGGTTTCTTGTACGCTAAGGTCTGAACTCACTGCTCTGCCGTAAGCTGACAAAACGCCCTTTTTTGTCCAGAGCAGTTTCTAGAAATCAACGATTTTCGGTTTTCTTGCAATATCTCAACTACTTTGCACAGTACATCAATGTTTGAACTCGATCCCTAATCAGAAAGTACAACATAAATTTTGTTTATTTTCTTTAAGAAATAAACAAATAATCACGAAAAAAGGCGTTTTGTCAGCTTTGCCTTACACAAGGCGTTTTAACAAGAACGCCTTTTTTTAGATGTTCGCTGACAAAACGCCTTTTTTTTCAGTCGGTGGCAGAAAAAAAGGCGTTTTGTCAGCTTTGCCCTGAACAAGGCGTTTTAACTCATTGAAGACGCACATTCCGGTCATTCCAATGTCTGAAAAAGCCTAACTTCATCATCCATACATATTTTCTCAATATATTTTCTTCTTTTAGAGCCTGTTAAAAGTTGTTGTTTTTTTAACATGTATACTACGAACTGTTCAATATAGCGTTTCTGGTAGTGTACGTAGGTTCAAAATAAGCTTCAACATTGCCTTTGTTCCGTTTCTGGTCAGACAAACGTGTCCGATGCGTCCCTATAGAGTTAACAAGTACGCCTTTTTTTAGACGTTCGCTGACGGAACGCCTTTTTCTCGTCGCTGGCACAAAAAATAAGGCGTTGTGTCAACGAACCCTTTAGAAATGTATTTAGCCGTATGCCTTATTAATTGATAAGTCAGAATTGGGAGACAGGAGATAGGGCACAGAATCATTTGAAGTTTGCTGCCGCTATGTGTGTAGAAATTTAGATTTGTCGCAGGTAAAGACTGATCTTATTTTCGGAATCAGCGTATCAAAATTTTGTAAGAAAAGTAGTTCGCATGTAACCTGATTTGATGCCATATATAAACTTAAGCAAACTTTGTTATCGAATTGTCTGGTAGATTCTATGCAGGTCAGCCACTGTGTTATGCATTTGACGTCAAATCTGACAGGCTTAGATCTAATAAACAAAACTTAAACACTGACTGGACAATTTATAGGCATTGCGATTTGAACTGGACAGCACGGCACCATGCCCATGGTTCTCGAGTAAGGTTAGGGGTCATTGTGACGTCAAAGAGGTCATCCTGTCCGGAGTCTTGTCCAC